CAGGGGAAGGAACTGTTCAAACTCATTAGCAGAGACAGTGTCATTCCTTCTGACTCAGTCTCACAATGTATCATTTGATTAACCTAGTCTGTGCTGTTTGTGTTCCTTCACTACTTTATCTCACTTTTAACCTTTCCACAAATCCTCTTTTATCTCGTTTCACCCAGTAATGCCATGCTACCAGCTTCCTGCAATGTCACTTCTGCTGCTGTCTTTGAGAATATGAACAGCCAATATTGGCAACCCCACTCTGAGTAACCCAGAGTTTGTGACACTGTAGTCACTGAAACTTTGCCTCTTTCACTGGGAATATCAAATCTTCACCTTCAAAGATCCAGCCCTCTGAACCTCCTCAAAACTGCTCTGACTTTGAATGCCTTAACAATTGCTCATGTGCTGGTAGTTAAAGCTCTTCTTTGAAGACAGAGTTCCCAGGATTCTTGAGACTGCTCACAAATGTCTAATTACTAGCACAACTTCAAGCTTCAGAGCTGCCGCTGTTCACAAGTCTCTTCTCACCCAACTGCCAGCTCTCTAGCAGACAGCTTCATTTCAACTCCACTGAATTGATAATTCTCTCAGGGCTTCCCCAAGCCCCAATAACCCAACAGTGGTCTTCTCTGAGCCCTAACTGCAGGAAGGCAGCTAATGGCAGCACTTTAGCTGCATGGAGCCTCTTCATTTATCTCTGGCTAACTCACTGATGAAAACTACTGACCAGCAGGCTGACATAACAGCTTTGACTTTCTCTGAGCAACTGACTGGGTCCTGCAGGCTCCGCTTTCTCATACCTCTCATCCTATGGTCTCCTTTTTGCATGACTGCCCAAATCACAGGCATACTATTTTTGAATGGCCAAGCACTTCTTGATCCTTGTAGCTTCAACAGGGTAAACTCAGATACAGCACATCATCATGCTAACATGCACGTGCCAGGGCATGCCAGGATTTGGAGTTCTTGGTCTCCACTCCAACACTATGCAGAAACATTCATGAGCTCCGAGCATGTGAAATCTATGTTCTGATGTAACAGGAGACAGATGAACATTAATAAACAGTTACCTGGACGAAGCAGACAGTTGTGTGTTCTCAGAGCTGGGAAACGCATGGTGGAGGTAGTTGCTGAGAAGTTCGTCATTCACAAAACCTGCATCAACAAAAAAAAAATGGCATCAGACACAGTCGCTTAGATTGTGACAAATACTGATCACCAAACCATGTGGATACTGTATATCCACTTCATTGATGCTGTTTGTACACACTCCTGAATGCAACTACGTGAAATGCAGTCAAATACTGTAAACCATTCTCCATTTCCCATCCTCCACATCCCACATTGTGTTGTCGGGAACAGAGGAACTGAAGTAAGCCCAACCAGTCTGCTGATCTATACCTCAACTCCATTTACCCAACTTGATCCATAACCCAAGATGCCTGACAAAAATCTATTCAGCTCTGCATGTTGCTGCTGCAGCATATGAGAGCTGCCGTACTCAAGGTGATCCATATCAAATATGTGTGGAGTAAGCATTTCCAGTTCAAGGATATCAGATCAGAGTGGAAGAGCTGGAGTCTAAACTGCAGACAGTGCACCACATCAGAATTGGGGAAAGTTACCTGGACATTTTGGTCCAGGAGGCAGTTACACTTCTTAGATTAGATAATTCAAATCTGGTCTGTGATAGGAGACATGAAGGTGTGACTGTAGGAGGTATAGGTATGGGTACCCAGGACAATATTCCCTCTAGGCTGCACAGTCTCTGGGAAGCTCTGAGCATATCAAAATGCCAATAAATGGCTTCCGCACACAGACCTTGGAGGTCCAGGCAGCAAATAAAATTACAGGGAATTTTGACACATGGAGTGGTGTTTGAGGACCCCCTGTCTCCGTAAGTGACAATAGTTACAACATTCTTGCAAGCTATATGGACGAGAGTGGGAACTGCATGGAGGATGAGTGAGCTGACCACACCAGCATGGTACAGAAAGCCATTCAAGTATGAGGAGGCAACAGTAAAATACTAGTTTTTAGGGACAGTATAATTAATGGGATAGATGTTATTCTCTTCAGATGTGTGCGCAAGTCCCAAAGGCTGCGTTGCCTGCCTACTGCCAGCTTTAAGGACTCTCTTCAGGGTTGGAAGGAAACTTGTAGCAGGAGGGGATAATCTAGTTATCATCATCCATGTTGGGGTAATATATTGTCATAAATGATTAACTAACTAATAGAAGACAGAAAGTTGGGATAAGGTGGAATTTTTAGAATGGCAACCTATAACTAGTGAAGTACCACCGAGGTAAGTGCTGGAATCACAATTATCTCCCTTTATGTTAATGATTTGGATGACAGACATGAATGTGATATCATTAAGTTTATAGATGACACTAAATGGATGGGAAGGCAAGTGGTGAGGATGATACAAATAATATGCATAAGAATATACACAGGTTAAATCAGTGATAAATGATAAATGGAATATAAAGTGAGAAAATATGAGGTTGCACGCTCTGACAGAAAGAACAGAGGAGCTGAATATCATTTAAATGAAGAAAGACCATAGAAAAATACAGCACACAGAAATTTGACACATGCATAAATCATAAAAACGCTCACATATGAGTTCAGTGGGTAATAAGAAAGGCAAATAGACTTTTAGCCTTGATTTCAAAGGGAATGAAATGCAAACATTGGGAAGTCTTGATGAAACAATACAAGGTACTCATTGGACCACAACAAGAATACTGTGAATAGTTTTGGTCCCTTATCTAAAGTAGTACATACTGGCATGAACGCAGTCCAGAAAAGGTTCATTAGGTTGATCTCAGAAATGAAGGGATTTTCATTTAGGGAGAGGTTGAGCTGTATTCATTGGAATTTAGAAGAATGAGAGGTTGAAACATACAAGATTCTTAGGGTAACAAGGTGTAGAGCTGGATG